CCTCTACCTTGACAGAGAAGGTCGAATAAGAGTTAGGCATGGCGGCTCACTGGAAGAAGCTGAGTACTGGTATCATAATAGAATTCTTCTAGGGAAGGACGTCCATGAAGGTGTCCTCAACTATCTAGATTGCAAGCTATTACCCATTTGGGCATCCTATCAAAGAGCTGGGAACCTCACAGAGATAAGAGAAGAAGTCAACGCTGAATTGAAACGGCTGAAAGAATTGGATGATCAAGCTATAGCTCATGCTGCAAGGGAAAATCTGTAAAGGACCACCCCTACCCTTTCCCTTAATAAAAGAACATCTCTGCCTTTCACTTTGTAAGGCATGCAATTCTTTCATATGTGTTTCTATTCTCTGTTATGATTATATGTTTGTTTTTATCTTGTTCTATTATCTGCTATCGGAATGTATCGTACTCTTACTATTTTCCTATGCCAAGTTGCCCACCAAGATTTTAATGAAAGTTTTAAACTTTAACTCTTTTATGGTGAAGGCACTTCTCTAGAAATAGTTAAAGGGTTTTGGCATCTTCAAAAAGGGGGAAATTGTAGAGAATAATTGTAATTAGATTTTGATGATGCTATATTTATTAGGACTTTAGAGTACCCCCTCTTTAGATTTATTGTATTAGAAATTTTCCTTGTAAAGTTTCTTAGATTAGTCGACTGACAGAAGACCTCCTGACAGAAGACCCTCTGATAGGCTTTGTCCTGACAGAAGATCTTTGGTCCTCTGTTGATTCTTACTCAGACAGAAACCCTCTGGATCTCTGTTGGACATTACTACAACAGAAACCTTCTAGACTCTCTGTTAGTTCGCATCTGACAGAAGACCTAAAGGACCCTCTGATAGCTTATTCCAACAGAAGTACTCAAGACCTTCTGTGAGAGACTCTCTGCTGAAGACGCCAGAAGGCCTGACACTTGGAGAATTTTCTTGATACTACTTCAACCGGTGAAACCAACGGAAGATTCCTTCAACGGATAGAAGACTTCAACGTAAAAGCTACAGTACGCGCATTAAATGCACATTTAATGCACCCCGTACCCTGAAGAGTAAAAGCTGATGATTGGCCGACATTCCAGGTTATTTCAAGATAACTTTATCCCAAAATAGTAACCCGCCAACTTTCCTGGGTCCTACTGGTCAAGTCAACTGTTCGCGCATTTAATGCATTGTCCTCCTCCTCCAACGGGAAGACAACCCAAGTATAAAAGATACTCTACGAAGAACAACCGTAGTACTAAGAAATAACTTTGCTACATCCTTTGCTCAACACTTGCTCAAACAAAACCTTCAAGGATTCAAAATCAAAAAGCCTCCTTGAGATTAACATTTCTTCATCCTCTACAAGGGAAGGCAGACGTTGGGAAGAATATCTACTCATATCTTCACATTCTCAACAAGAGAAAAGTTCCATTTGTTCTTCAACACTTGAAGCTCCTCAACTACAAATCTTTTGTAACGAAGCTAGTTGGAAACCCCTGTTCTCACAAGAACTCTTCTTCAACGAGAAGGACGTCCAAGGAACTGGAGCAGTGAAGTGGTGATACTTTCGGGAAGCTCAGCGAAAGGACCAGTTTTAAAGGAAGCCAAAAAGTGCATCCCAGGAGACATCTAGGCTTGAAGAAGACGTGGAGAGCTTCTTAAGTGCCAGGACTAAGGCGTTGTAAATGGACGTTTTTACAAGCTTAGTGGAATAGTGGATTAGAGGAACGAGTTGTTCCTTGAACCACTATAAAAATCCCTGGTGTCATTTACTTACTGCATTTATTTATCGCACTTAGTTAGAACTGATTAACTCCAAAGACTTGGTCTCTGTGTTCAGCAGAACGTGTCTTGTGAGTTAACAGAAGGCCTACTGCCTTTGCTTCTCTGAGGCTAATCTGATAGTACCCCTACCAGAACCCCATCCGCTGCCAGTCTGTTCTGTCAACAAAACAGACTATTCTGTTAAATCTGGTACTTAGCTTGAAAAAGTTAAAAACCAATACAGTCTATTCACCCCCCTCTAGATTGTATCCAGTACTAGGGCTGGGTTCGGTTTGGTACCCGAACCGATTAGGGTTAACCCGAAACCGAACCGACATTTCGGTTTTCCAAAAAACCATAACCAAAACCGAACCGTTCAGAGACGGGTACCAAATTATCGGTTTCCGATAATTCGGGTCAGTTTACCAAGACCCGAATCAAAAATCGACTTTCAATTTTTAAACAAAATATTTGAACTTTTCAATACACTAGGCCAAAACTTTCAAAAGTGCAAGCCCCATTTCAGCCCAAGCTTTCAAAGTGTAAGCCCAAATTCACTTTGCCCATTAATCTCACGGATAGTGTAGGACTTTGAGGAATTGTTCCAAGAGAAAACATCGCTATATAGTTGCTTTTGAGGAGGAAGTTCTCTCATTTCTCCGGTGTGGGAAAAAGTTTTGTGGAAACAAAATTGAAAGAAGCATTGAGTTTAAAATAAACACCCCAGAGACAAAATCAGACGCAATGAGGTTTCGAACACGGGACGTCCGTGTCCCTGAATTCGCTTGGCAACCATCGCACTGGAGAGCTTTGTTTGTTCTTTTGGACTGCGTGTTATATATATACATTTAATAAAGACCATTAACTATAAAATTCATTATAATTATTATTAATAAAATGTCGATTCGGTTCGGTTCAAACCGATATATTGGCACTATAAACCGATTCCGAACCGTTTTTTTATCGGGTCCCAATTTTTGGGTCCCAAATTATATCGGTTCGGTTCGGTTTTTTTCCAAAGCGGTTCGGTTTTTTTCGGTTCGGTTTTCGGTTTTTCGGTTCAAAATGCCAGCCCTATCCAGTACAACCGGAACCAACAACTCGCAGTTTCAAAACTCGCAGTTTCAAACATGTCGAGTTTAGGAATTCGAGACCCTAAATGTCGAGTTCCTGCAAAATGAAAACTTCGATTTTTGAAAATCTGAAAACTGTTCTGAATAGCCCTGAAGGTCGAGATTCTCCTGTATCAGTTTCAAGTCAAAATCGTTTCTGCATCCATGTAAAATCAGAAACTCGAGATCCCATGTAGAGTTTTTCGAAAATGAAAATTTGCAGAAATCGAAAACAAAGATATGCTGTAGAATCGTTTTGAAGAGGCGATTCCAACAGTATAATTTTTTCAGATTTTCATTCACAAACAAGATTACAGGAGCAAAACTTTATATGAAGAAAAAGAGAAGAAAAGCAGAGCAATTCTTCGTTAGATAAAAAAAGGTGCAGATACATTCAACGTGTTTCACGCCTCAGCTCTGATACCAATTGATATTCCCAAAACATAACAATCGAACAATCATAACAGGTATAAAGAAGCAGATAGAAAGATATCAAGATTAAGAACACCTTTGGTATACCGTGTAAACTGGCCGCTGCTCTCCCTGGAGAAGGAGGGCAACGGCAAACCCTAATCTCTCTATCTCCGCGTCTCTGAACTCTAAAGCCTCGATCGTTAGGGTTCCCGTAAGTTAGCCTCCTTTTATAGGAGAAGTTGGCTAACTTACGGGTCACAAAGAAGCTAACGGGCTGATAAACATTTGTGGCCCGTATTACACGTTTAATTAATAACTACACAAATACAAAGATATTTAATTAGATTTGACACCATTAAAATATTCTCAATAGCGTCATCAACTTCCTGTTATGTTCCGGCAACACCCTTCCCATCGGTCCCAGCATTGCCTCTGTTCTGTTGTTCGGCCGCCCCTGAAACAAATTAGTAAAATAATTTTGTATCACAATTCACAGCATGACAGTTCACTAAACATACGAAGTACGGTGTAACTCTTTAGACACACCGGAGTATCACTTTTTCTCTATTTGACTCTTATGGAGTACTTAATTGGTTAAAGAAAAAAATCAAGTCTTATTATAATTTTATTACTTTTACAAAAGGATTATTAGCTTAGTTTATCCCAAACTATTAACAAATTCACAAATTTATCATACACTTTCAGTTTTATCAAAAAAAGACTCACACTTCATGTATTTCAACAATTATGATTTTCTTGTTTTCTTTTTCAAATTTACACATTTTTATCAATACCAATAAGATATAAGCAATACAAAATGGTAAACTTAAACTAAAAAGAAGTGAAAAAATATGAAATATAAATATAGTTTTCTTCTTAATTTTTACCAATTCATCCATTGAAAGTGTAATTGTGAGAATAATTGAAGTTTGAATCTTTTTTAATAAAAATGAAAGCATGATATAAATTTGTGAATTTCATTATAGTTGGGAAGATATTTAGCTAATAACCCTTTAAGTAAATGATTTTCTTCTCGTACAACTTTCCTAAAATTAAACCTTTTCCTGCAAGAATTCGATTCTTGCCAAGTATCGTGACAACCAGGCTAATCTGATAGGGAATGGCTAACCGCAACCTTCTCCGTCAATAAATCAAATTCCCCACCAATTTATACTCATTCACTCAGTCAATTCAGCTTTTTCCTGCAACCCAACACCGTCAATATATTCACCCAGTAAAATTTTATTTAATTAAATCCTTAATTTTATTATTATACATTAATTATTTTTCATTTTTTTGTGAATGATTGTGATTCAAAAGGTCAAACATTCCGATGTAAAAATAATTAAATTTGGAGTTTGATTTTTTTTATTGTCACATCAAACATATTGTTTCAAAAAATATTTGAGAAAAATGTAAATTTTGTTTTAATCATTGGATCTTAATTGTAGCATTTGGATCTAAGATTTTAGGCATAAAATTCTCAAACAGATGAAAATTTATAATTATTTAAAACTTTATATAAACAATATTAATGACATATGATAGATAATAAAAACTATGAATTTTGATATATTTTTTATAAACATTGAAATAAAAATACAAAAGTTATAATATTATAAAGGAAATTCGGATATTTAATATTCTGGGGTCCACTCTTGTGAAGCTTACTGCGCATATAGTGCGCATACTCCGCAATCCGCATATAGATCTCCGTGAAACGGGTATCTAATTTGGCTCCCACTTTAAGACCCTCTAATACATGGGTTGCAGCAAATTGAGGGGTGAAAACATCAAAATTGGGTTTTCACCTTCCGGGTTGCAATCAGACTAATAGGGACTCGGCCCATTTGGCGTTCTTAAGGCATCACGTCAACCGCGAACTCGCAAGACAACCACGCTCACACGCCATATAGACCCGTATATAAACTCTAGAAACCTTATCATCCGCAGATCTGATCTCGCCTAGGGTTTGCTCTGTTCTTCTCTCTTTGTATCCCACTCGCACAAGTAATCGAATTAGGGTTGGAGGTTTCGTAGCTCGAAGCCACCATGCCGAAGAACAAGGGAAAGGGAGGTAAGAACAGGAAGAGAGGCAAGAACGAGGCCGACGACGAGAAAAGAGAGCTCGTATTCAAAGAGGACGGTCAGGAGTACGCGCAGGTCTCTCGTATGCTGGGTAATGGCCGCTGTGAGGCCATGTGCATCGACGGGCAAAAGCGTCTCTGCCACATCCGCGGCAAGATGCACAAGAAAGTCTGGATCGCCGCCGGTGACATCATCCTCGTCGGTCTTCGTGACTATCAGGCAAGTCTCAAATTTTATTGATTCCGTTTGTTTGTATTTTGATCTCATCCTTCTTTATGTGGAAAAATATTGTGCCAAATAAACATTTACTGTGCCTGGCTGTTTTGCGTGCTTCTTTCAATATTTCGTTTTTTTACAATTGTGTTCAAGAGCATGAATATACAAATAAAAAGAGTGAGCACACATATATGCTTAGCACAACAACTCCAAGTCTAGCTGCTCTTCACATTAGAGTCATAGTGATATACTGATATGTGCCCTTTTCGCATCAAAATATCTACTTTTTGTGTGAATTCTTGTACATAATTGTTGTTAAATGAACTACTGCTTGTAATTCTAGTATTTTGTTTATATGGAGCATGGACTACTTTGAGTTTTACTTTTAATAGCAAATTCTTGCATCGTTTTCAATATCTTGATTCTTTTAGATTTCAATTTTAAGTTCATTATGCTAATTGTGTGATTACATATTCTATTTTTAGTTAAGAGTGGTGTTTTACTACCATCTTGAATATATCAGTCAAGATCTTAAGCTTATTGAGGCTTTGTGTGGTTGCCAAGGGAAATTATTCTCTTATGTTTGGATTTACCCTAAAAAGTATAAGAAAAGTTATCATGGCGCGCAGAGACCATTATGGCTCAGGTTAGTTTACCGTTGGTGATGGCAATGACTCATTTATGGTGTTGCCAACTTTCCATGGTACACTAAAACTATCAAGTATAAATATGACCTGTACAAAATATAGATATGACATAACAAGTAGTATAAATTAATAGTATAACATACAATATGCATAAACTTATACTATGTACATAAAACATAATATACAATATATATGCGTACAACATATGCATAATAAACAGATATGGTAATCAGATATATATGGAGTTGTAGACGTGTACATGAAAATAACTAAAAAAAATAATTGTTGCTTCTCTGCGTGGTCTTGGGTTGGGAGCTGGGTGGTTGCTGCCTTGCTGGTCGCTGTGTGGTGGGCTGTGGGTGCTAAGTAGCCGGTGGGGTTGGCCAGTTGGCCACTGGGTGGTTGCTGCTTGCTCGTGGTTTGGCTGTTGGGTGTTCACTGCCTCCAGGTTGCTGGGTGGTCGTTCGTTGAGTTGTCACAGGCTACACAGCTTCCTTACAGAGTTACAGCCTCTATTATTAATCTTCTGTATTATTTTACGGTGCTTCTTCTTACGATAGGACTCATGTCTTTGTCTTGGTCCGGTTGTAAAAAATGAGTTTTTCTGTCCTAAGTTTGCCCAGACAAGCAAGGCCTTAATAAATCTGGGCCTCATCCATAAAATCTAAAATTGTACCACAACATAGCACACATAGCTCTAGCGATGGCGAAGGCGCACATCTGGTGACGCCATAAGTATCATCAATGACACAAGCAGGTTCTGTGACGATTGATGAAAGTCCTAAAATGCCAATGGTCAGATATGGCGATCGCCAGTTGCACCATTGACTACCCTGAGTGTAAGGGTTAATGAATATGATCAATACTTTTAATTTTTATGTATATCTCAATTTCTTGGTTTGATAATTGACATTATTAAAAAATAAATAATGTATGCCATATGACAAGATTAACTTATTATTGAGTTTGAATCTGTATTTTAGTTTCCTTCATGTTTCTTTCTTTCAATAGATCGCCCATATTAGCTCGCATCTTTTATGTCCCTAGTAGTATCCACATTCCAAACAAAGTCTGAATATTATTTCCATACTATGTTGTTGGTGCAAAATATTTTGCTCTATTACGATTTAGCAATATTTGAATATTAGTGAGTTGGCATCTTATTTTATGTAAAATTGGAAGACGATTAGTTCTGTTTTAATCACCCCTTACTAAAAAATCATAGTGATTGTTGTTATTAATAGCTCAATGTCAATTAATCAGTGTATATTGGAATCTAAAAATAACTCTCCTGTAGGACTACTACTCTCTACTATTTTAGAATTGAAGCAAATAATGGAATTGGCAATGCAGGATGATGTGAAAATATTGGCTTAATGTCAAGGATTTGGTTATATGTGCAGGATGACAAGGCTGATGTGATTCTCAAGTATATGCCGGACGAGGCGAGGTTGCTAAAAGCGTATGGAGAGTTGCCCGAAAACACTAGGCTGAGTGAAGGTGTTACCAATTTGGAAGAAGATGAAGAGGGCGGTGGTGAGGGAGATTACATTGAGTTTGAGGATGAAGACATTGACAAGATCTAAAATTTGCAGTTACAGTTGATACCTCTGTTTTTCTTTCACAATCATATTTATATTATTATGTGAGCGAATAGAAGAGAGAGACCTTATTATGTGTTGTAATCTTTTGTGCATTGGCATATGTACAAAATTTATGCTTGGGCAGACTAACCGCAATAAATTTTTATCTTATGCAAAGTTAATACCACTTGATCTTTACTTCTTCGGCCTTGTGTTTCTATCTCATGAATGAGTAAGTTGTATCTTGTATTGGCATCCAGTTTTTTGTAAGTTGTAAATTGTAATTGCAAGGATTCAAGACTGAAATAGAATCAATCAGAAAACAATTGTATCTTGTATTGGCATCCAGTTTTTTTCTCAAAATTACACTCCTTAATCCTTATTAGGTACTCCTTCAGTCCCTTATAACTTTGCCAAATTTCATGTTTTGGTTGTCCTAAAAACTTTGACATTTTCTTTTTTAATCAATCAATTTGTGGCTCCAAACTTGGCAATCCTTTTAGGGACGAAGTGAGTATAATTTTTGTCTCATAAAATAGGCTCAAAATATCTCGTCTTTGATGCCTTTAGGGATGGATTCGGTTCGGGCCACCCGGCCCGTGACCCGGCCTGGCCCGGTACTGTGCGGGCCCGGGACCGGCCCGGTCGGGCGGTCCGGGATCGGGTCTGGGCCCGAACCGGGGGGAAGGGGCGGGGCGGGCTCGGTTCAGCATTTTTGTGACCCGGCCGGGTCGGGCCCGGGCCCGGGTCCGGTTCGATCAATTTTTTTAAAAAAAAGTTTTTTTGGGTTGGGCTCCTACTAGCCGTTGGGGGTGGGGCTGGGGACAACCCAAACGGCTATATAGCCGTTGGGTGGGTTATAGGGGAGGTCCGGGGGGGTTGGGTGGGGGGGGGGTGGGGTGGGGGGGGGGGGTGGAGGGTAAAAAACCCTATAAATACTCCTAATCTTAAACATTTTTTCATATCTTTTCTCCAATTCTTCCTAAATCCTATTCTTAACTCTCTACTCTCTAATTCTCTTATTCTCCATTCTCCAATATATTATATTTATTATTTATAGTTTATATTAATTATCTACTTATATAAATTATAAATAGATATAAATAGTATTATATTACTTATATTTGTTATCTAATTATATATTACTTATATATTTATTATATCTATTAATATAGTTGGAATTATATCTAATTAATTTGAAGTCATTCTATTACTCCTATCCGAAAGACCGAAAGTCCGAAAGAGGTACGAAATTATTCTATTATTTACACTTGTTTAATTACTAGTTAATTAGTATAGTTGGAATTACGATTTTTTATTAATATAGTTGGAATTACGATTTTTTATTAATATAGTTGGAATTACAATTTTTTTATTAAAAAATATGTTGTACACAAAACTAGTTAATTCACTACTTAATTTGCTATAACTCGAATTAATAGTTAGATAAATAGTTAATTAGTTTTTTACAATTTTTTATTAATTGCTACATTTGACTCTAGTTTATAAAATATGTTGTACACAAAACTACTTAATTCACTACTTAATTTGCTATAACTCGAATTAATAGTTAGATAAATACTTAATTAGTTTTTTACAATTTTTTATTAATTGCTACATTTGACTCTAGTTTAAAAATAATGTTGTACACAAAATTAGTTAATTCACTACTTAATTTGCTATAACTCGAATTAATAGTTAGATAAATAGTTAATTAGTTTTTTACAATTTTTTATTAATTGCTACATTTGACTCTAGTTTAAAAAATATGTTGTACACAAAACTAGTTAATTCACTACTTAATTTGCTATAACTCGAATTAATAGTTACATAAATAGTTAATTAGTTTTTTACAATTTTTTATTAATTGCTACATTTGACTCTAGTTTAAAAATAATGTTGTACACAAAACTAGTTAATTCACTACTTAATTTGCTATAACTCGAATTAATAGTTAGATAAATACTTAATTAGTTTTTTACAATTTTTTATTAATTGCTACATTTTTTAGATGGATCGTCCTAGATATTCGGTTGATATGGATAACCTCAAGCGCAACCGAACGAACGAGCTTGCGAGGAAGAGATCCCGCAAAGGTAAATCACATCTCGGCTCTTCATCTCAAAGTCAAGATGATTTTGATACGGGTTACGTAAGGAGAGATGGGGATGCGATGACCGACGAACAACTAGAACAAGAATTGCACCGACATAATTCCCGCTTTTTTCAAGACCAACCGAGGACCATTGACGAAGAAGAGCTCGAGGACGAGGACGACGATGTAGAGGAAGCAATTCCGGAGAGCCACAACGACGAGGAGGAGGAGGGTGGCGTCAGCCATGACGCCGACCAAGCAGCCTCATCCCAAACAGGTACAAAAAAAGTAAATCTGAATTAATGGCTAATAATTTATCTAAGTGGAAGGACCCGAACACCGGGAATTGGACCGCAACTTGCAATTGGTGCAAGAAAAACTATAGCTTGGGGATTTCCGGCGGATACGGATCCGCCACAAGACACCTTAAGTCCAAACACCCGGTGGAGTATGCAAAATTAGGCGGCGGAACGGGGAAACAAACGCAAATATCGAGGTTTGCAAATAACCAACAAGCTTTTGGTAATTTCTCATACAATGATGCACAAAATTTGACAGGTATGGCTAACTTACTTGTTGAAGAAAATTTGCCTTATTTGTTTTCTGAAAGTCTTGCTTTTCGTGATTATGCACAAACTTGTTTAAATTCGTAATATAGAGGTTATAGTCGCAAAACGGTTAAGAAAGAAATTTCAAGGCTTTATGGTGCGGAAAAGGTAAGGTTACAAAATTATTTTGCAAACTTTGATGGACGTGTTACTGTATGTTTTGACATATGGGAGGATACTTATCATAATTTACATTATTTGGGTCTGACTGTACATTATATTGATAATGATTGGCATATGCATAAACGTGTTCTTGCTTTCCGTGAATTTAATGATCGTCACACCGCTGAACATATTTATATTTTGATTGAACGTATTTTAATTGAGTATAATTTAATTGATAAGGTGTTTGCTATTGGTTTTGATAATGCTACTAATAATACTGCTGCTATTCCTAGATTGCGTGAATTGTGTGGTTCTACTTCTTTGATGGGTAGATTTTTTCATCAACGATGTGCATGTCATGTTCTAAATTTATGTGTGCAAGATGGTCTAAAAGCGTTGGGAGCATCGTTGGAGGTAGTCAAGGGGGGGATTAGACGTATTTGGGGTAATGGACACCTTAGGAAAAAATGGCATGATTATTTGATAGAAAGAGGTGAGAGATATGTGGCTTTTCCAAAAGATTTGTCTATTCGTTGGAATAGTACCTATAAGTTAATTGGAGTTCTTCTTAGATATAAACAACATTTTCCTGCTTTTATGAAACAATATGATAACTATATTATAAACTCGGCTGAGATCGACACCTGTGAAAAAATTTGTAATGCTTTGATATATTTTAATAATGCAACTGAAACTTTTAGTCATGTTTATAAACCTACCTCAAACCAATTTATTCGTGAAGCTGTTAATCTCGCCGGTGCTTTTTCAAATTTTGAGAATGCTGATTATGTGAGTTATTTTGCTGGTTTTATGAAGGAAATTTTTTTAAAATATTATTCACATATTCCTCATATTTATGGTATTGCATTTGTTCTCGATCCTCGTTTTAGACTTGGTTCTTTAGAAGAATGTTTGAATTATTATTATGCTGCTTTTTTTGGTCCATTGCCAATGTATGAGGACAACCCAATTGATCCGAAAAAAGAATACAACGAGGTTAGTGATATATTTTATGCATTATTCAATGAGTTTCATGCACAATATGGCAATGCGCCCCCTCCCCCGACACAAACATCATCTAAAGGAAAATCAATTTTCAAATCTACGTTTGTCAATCTTATTAAAAAAACAAAATCAACTCCCGCTACACAACAAAGCACAATTAATGAGATTTCTTTGTATTTAACTTATGATGTTGATTTTGAAGAAGATGATGATTTTGACGTACTAAACTAGTGGAAGGGAAAAGAAAGAATGTTCCCGGTTTTAGCAAAGATGGCTAAGCAAGTGCTATCAATGCCGGTTTCAACGGTTGCCGTGGAACAAGAATTTAGTTCGGCCGGCAATGTTCTAACACAAACCAGAACGAGGTTGAGCGCTGAATCTCTTGAGATGCTTATATGCTACCACAATTGGTTGAAAGCAGCACGTAGAGCTCAAGAAATTGACATCACTCCATCCCAACACTTTATGGATGAATCTACAGAGGGTGGCTCTACTTATGCCGGAGATTCCGATTAAAAACAATTATAGTTCCTATTTAATTTTCAAATGTAGTTCCTATTTCATTTCAAATAAATGCGCTTGAAGTTTGTTTTTTAATACTTGTATAAAACTATAAAGTATAAAATATAAATTTAAAAAAAAATTACCCGGCCCGACCCGGCCCGGCGGGTGGCCCGACCCGTGACCCGGGCGGGTGGCCCGGCCCGAACCGGACCCGTCCAACCCTCGGGCCGGTCCCGGGCCCACTATTCTAGAACCGGCGGCCCGACCGGGCCTAGGCCAGGCCCGGGCCCGACCCGGCCCGAATCCACCCCTAGATGCCTTGATGGCAAAGATTAATTATTTAATATCGAAACTCGACGGTGGTATTTGCACAATTGCACGGTTGTACACTTGTACCCATTTTTTTTTTGTCTCAATCACTTCAAGTCTTCAAGATCAATTGGCATAGAAAACAATAGAAATTCATTCCTTTTCCGCTTTTCGACCTTGACCGTTCAGGTACTCTTACTCCATTTAGGCTATGTTTGGTATGATATAATCAATCATCAATATATTTTAAATTGTAATGTAATGGCATTCGCTGCATTGCGTAATTGAATTGCATTACTTTTACATTACTTTAATGTGTAGTGAACTTTACATTTGAAAAGTTATTTATTTATGATTACACTTTCTTGAGACCACTATCTATTGTTCTTGGAGTGGGAAGGCGGAGAGAAGTGTCGGGCAACTCTATTATGGGGCTCTAAGCTACTTTTTTATTAAAAAAAAAAGCTCTTTTTACGTGCTACTTACATGCAAACAAAGTGTTTTTGAAAGATAATAAAATGTTATAAGTTTTGATAAATTTTTTGTAACAACCAAAGTACAAATAAAAAAGTTATAACACTTTAAAAATCATTAGATTTTATTTTGGTGGGAACCCTAAATAATAGGAGTTGTATTTTAGTTGAGTAGCACTCGTATATAAAATACCGAGTATTACCTGTGCATAGCCTTGTATAGATTCCTTTAATTTGAAGTGATGTTAAAATAATAATTGTGGAATTGACATGTGACAATATTTTCCTTAATT